TGCGAGTGCTCAGACAGCTGCTTCAAAAACATTTTTAAAAAGGTTAGAAAAATTTTTTTATTTCGGTTTTGAAATTTCCTTTTTGGTGCACCTCTAATTTTTTTTTCCATTTTTTTTAAAACTTTTTTTAATTTTAATTTTCTTAACCTGATTTATCTTTTACTTTTTATAATCTTTTTAATCTTATTTTTTGTTTGTTATAATTTTGTTATTTGTTACTTTTTTATTTTTTAATCTTACTATCGTTTACTTTTTATAATTGTTATTATTTTTTACTTATTTTTTTCATCATTTTTATTTATTTTATAATGTTTTTGATGTTTTACATATGGAGTTAGAAATTATATGTGCAGCACAGTGGTTTTGCCTTTTGCACTGAGGTGCTTGGTTTGAATCCCAGGCAGGACTGTATCTGCTAGGGGTTTGCATATTCTTCCTGTGTTTGTGTGGGTTTCCCCCCCACACTGTGAAGACATGCTGGAGGGTCAACTGGCTCCTGACTAAATCAGCCCTAGTGCATTTCAGATAGGGACTTAAGATTGTAGGTTCCTTGAGTGTGAATGTGTAAATTGTTGGTGCAATATGCAGGCATCCCAACCTGCAAAACCTTAACCTTACATACATACACAGTAAAAAAAATCCATATACCAATAATACAATAATATATATATACATCAGATTTGTGAATTGATGTTCAAGTATCTGTCAGTGTAAAGGTCACAATTTATTAGACAGCCCGAGACCTTTTTAAAAACCGCTGAGGAGTCAAGTCCCTGATACACTGTTTTTTTTTAATTTAAATTCTTTATTTTTCAGTTTTATATTAGTATGAACAGTATAAATGTACAAACAAAAGAGTTGAGCAGTGCAATACAATACATCGAGAGCCCGGGATGTCACCTCCCACTCATCAGAGGAGGAAGATGTCCACTGTAGTCATTATCATTATTATTATGTCCCCTGGTGTCATTATTATTATTATTATGTCCCCTGGTGTCATTATTATTATGTCCCCCCCAGTATCATTATTATTATGTCCCCCCCAGTATCATTATTAATGGATCTGGACAATATTTTTTGGATCCATACCAGCTGCAGCGTGGCTCTGCTCTGTCAGCATATAGCGGGCAATATTGCATGGGGGGCGTGGTCGGGGGCCCAAGAAAATCTTTGCCCTGGGTCCAATCAATATTAAAGACGGCCCTGCCTGTGTCTAGGGACAGATGACCGACCTTGGACACAATGTGTCTGCATCCAGGGCCAGTCATCTGCCTCTAGCCACAGGTAACTGCTGGATTTGTGGATACATGCAAATAGTGGCAGACACCTGCGGCTCCTGTCAGCCTGTCATTGCTTTGTACGGGCTTCCTGGCTGTAGCTTTCCATAACTACCTGCCACAGGAATCCACTATTTGGCCCCAATCGCATGTGTAAAGTGGGCCCTAGTCTTCCCATATGTTTTACTATCTAAATACTGTTGCCTTTGCATGTAAGCACTTAGTAAACGTATGTCAGAAAACAGCAAGCAACCATAGTATTGTAACATTCTATTGGCTCTTATATAATACTCATTTAGAGGACATTGATACTAGAACAGTGTGAAAATTCATAGCCACACATTAGATATGCTTTTTTCTAAACTGTACAAGAAATGAAGCAATATCTAATAAAGGACTACAAATAACAATTGCTTTATCTTGCCTAGTCACATTCAACAGTTCTCGCCAACACCCCTCAATTACATTTTACTATAACGTTCCCAATGACAAACGTTACAATGGCCAGACAACACATGAACACAGCGCAGTACACTTACCTAGTCTAGTGCTCGCTCTCCAAGAAGTGTGGCGGCAGACTGGATTATATATGCTCTGCATCCAGCTACGTCAATGGCTCGTAATTACACAAGTCAGATGGCATTGCACAATATACTCGTATACTACTCTTTGCACAGGAAATAGTAAGTGTTCAAGAGAATTTGAGGACAAGCGGATGTAATGACTTACTCATAACAAGAGGAGAACAAGGGGTTAACGTTTCATCAACTCTTTGTCTGCAAATTGCATTGATGTGAAAACCAAATGAACAGTAATTCTATAACATGTTGGTGGGTATGTCTGGACATGTCCTAGATGAAAGTTCACTTATTGCTACATGCTTACACTGATATATAGCAGGGGTAGGCAACCTCTACCCGTGCTGAAACTACAAATCCCATCATGCTTCTGCCTTCTGAGAGTCATGCCTGTGACTGTCAGCCTTGCAATGCTTCATGGGACTTGTAGTTCCACCAAAGCTGGGGTGCTGAGGTTGCCTACCCCTGACATAGTATTGTAACATTGTATTGCCACATCAGTAAGACCATCTATACACCCCTAATGTTGCGATCCTTACAACCCCCCCAAGGGATTAATGTTGGGTCTATAGTGGTCATTGTGGAACTAAGGGCCTGGTGCAAAAAAAAGATTTTTTTACCCCCTCCCCCCAGCTCTTAAAAGCCCGCACCTTGCCACCTGAGACCCCCCCTCCTCCGACCATCTGAGAGCCCGCACTGGCCACCTGAGAGCCCGCACTGGCCACCTGAGAGCCCGCACTGGCCACCTGAGAGCAGGAAAACAAGCTCAGGGCTTCCATTGATTCTACATTATTTTGAGTTAGGTTACACAAGCAGAGGCTTCCCCTCTGCTTGTGTAACCTAACTTGGTGAGGCAAGAGCTGTCACAGCCTCTACTCTGTGTTAGATGCGTGAGCTCTGTGGATAATGTTGCACTAAACACATGTAATCAGTGCATTTAGCACACATACTGTACAAATTATAGCGTGGCGTAGACAAAAGTATGTGATGTGCAGTACAGTACACTGAATGGAACTGTCAGGAGTATGTAATGTGCAGTACACTGAGTAGAGCTGTCAGGAGTATGTAATGTGCAGTACACTGAGTAGAGCTGTCAGGAGTATGCAATGTACAGTACACTGAGTAGAGCTGTCAGGAGTATGTAATGTACAGTACACTGAGTGGAGCTGTCAGGAGTATGTAATGTACAGTGCACTTAGTGGAGCTGTCAGGAGTATGTCATGTACAGTACACTTAGCGCAGCTGTCAGGCGTATGTAATGCACGGTACACTAAGTGGAGCGGTCAGGAGTATGTAATGCACAGTACCCTAATTGGAGCGGTCAGGAGTATGTAATGCAGTATGTAATGCACAGTACCCTAATTGGAGCGGTCAGGAGTATGTAATGCAGTATGTAATGCACAGTACCCTAATTGGAGCGGTCAGGAGTATGTAATGCAGTATGTAATGCACAGTACCCTAATTGGAGCGGTCAGGAGTATGTAATGCAGTATGTAATGCACAGTACCCTAATTGGAGCGGTCAGGAGTATGTAATGCAGTATGTAATGCACAGTACCCTAATTGGAGCGGTCAGGAGTATGTAATGCAGTATGTAATGCACAGTACCCTAATTGGAGCGGTCAGGAGTATGTAATGCAGTATGTAATGCACAGTACCCTAATTGGAGCGGTCAGGAGTATGTAATGCAGTATGTAATGCACAGTACCCTAATTGGAGCGGTCAGGAGTATGTAATGCAGTATGTAATGCACAGTACCCTAATTGGAGCGGTCAGGAGTATGTAATGCAGTATGTAATGCACAGTACCCTAATTGGAGCGGTCAGGAGTATGTAATGCAGTATGTAATGCACAGTACCCTAATTGGAGCGGTCAGGAGTATGTAATGCAGTATGTAATGCACAGTACCCTAATTGGAGCGGTCAGGAGTATGTAATGCAGTATGTAATGCACAGTACCCTAATTGGAGCGGTCAGGAGTATGTAATGCAGTATGTAATGCACAGTACCCTAATTGGAGCGGTCAGGAGTATGTAATGCAGTATGTAATGCACAGTACCCTAATTGGAGCGGTCAGGAGTATGTAATGCAGTATGTAATGCACAGTACCCTAATTGGAGCGGTCAGGAGTATGTAATGCAGTATGTAATGCACAGTACCCTAATTGGAGCGGTCAGGAGTATGTAATGCAGTATGTAATGCACAGTACCCTAATTGGAGCGGTCAGGAGTATGTAATGCAGTATGTAATGCACAGTACCCTAATTGGAGCGGTCAGGAGTATGTAATGCAGTATGTAATGCACAGTACCCTAATTGG